CGGCGGTGTGCCGCTCCCCTGCGGAAGTGGGGAAAGTGGCAGGGGTCCCGCCCCTCCACGGAGGTGGAGGGACGGTAGCTAACCCGGGAAGAACTAGCAGCAAACCCGGGGAGGGCCGAGCAGACAAAAGAACAGCGCAGGGTTTAGTATCGTTCCTCCACGAAGAGGGGGAGCGACATACCACCTTTCTCTCGATGGCTTCTTCTTTGTCTTCCTGTGTCACTTGACAGATCTTGATTCTGTCCTCTTTGAGGTTTTCTAGGTCTCCCATCAGAGCCTGGGATGCATCTCCTGTTAGGCCCTCCTCCTTTCCCTTTCAAGCATCCAATCTTCTGGTTCCTGGAATAACTGCCCTCCCTTAGGTAGCAAGGGGTTTAGTGGCTCTGATTAACATCACAGCTGTGTTAACGCCTGCAGCAACTGAACTAATGATTTGCTCTTATGAAAACGAATTAGCTCTGTGGTGTAAACTTTCAAGCAAGCAGCTGGGTCTTTGGGGGCCTCCAAATACCATGTGCAGGTATCCAAGGTTAGGTGAGAGATCTGCTGGGACGTGCTGATCCCTGTGTTGGAAACTATGATTTCAAGGGTGAGGAACTGCAGCCCACGAAGGCTTCTAATGCAGGCCTCATACCCACAAGGCTGGGTAATCGACGAGGCAAGAGGCTGCAATTCTAAAGTGTCTGCTGCTGAACACATCATCCCAATAAACCTGTTTCCCCCCCCCAAAAGTAAATCAATGATGTATCGAATAATTTCTTTGAAAATATTACAAGGAGAAGTCTCTAGGCACTAAATAAATTAAAACTGTTACTTTGATGTAAATAGAATTATAACAAAAATGAACAACAATGAAAAAAGTAGAAGTGGGGGAATGATTTTAAGATCTGACTCAAATCAACTGTGCCCCCTAGTGCCGTAACAGGGTCCTTGCCTTCCTCTCTAACTTGCCTTGCAATACATTATTATGTCAGACAATTTTAGATCAACTGAGAAAAGGGCAGAGTGGAAAACAAGGTCTTTCAGTTTCTTGAGAAGGCACTGACTTAAATCTTATGGGGCTACATCAGCCATGATGACTAGAAAAATGCAATGGAGAACCAGCGACACACTCATTATCCCTTCAAATTACATTCTGAATATACTGAGTTTTATGCACATATAACATCACTATCTATCAAGTTATCAAACATCAAACATCAAATCAGATAAAATGTTCATGGAAAATCCAAGAGCACTAAATTGAAAACAATTCTAAATATCCTAAATTAGGATTTGTGGCTTAGCAGGTGCATTCAGACACAGCAGATAAATGTTTTCTTCTTGGCTTTTTGCGTTTCCCAAAAGCCAAGCTTTATCACAATGCTTACATATTTGCCATACGCTTAAAATATCAATTTTGATACATTCTTAGGAGAAATGCAGTTGCACTCAACTAGCAGAAGGATTATGGGCAGAAGCAGAGTGGGGCGGGGCAAGCAGGAGGAAGGGTTACCCAGCACCACAGAGCTTGTTGGCCCTTTCACTTCACCAGCCAAGAGTTCTGTCTTCAGCAACCTTGTGGTTTGATCCTCAGTTCTCTTTCTGATACTTTCAAACCTCCCAAATTGTTCAGCGGTTCAGAAGTTCCAAAACAAGCAAATGTGTTCCTGGAATCTTACCCTTGACTGCGCTGGAGAGCATTTTCTAAGGCTTCCTCTGCAGCCAAAATAATAAAAGATCTTTTAAGTGGCTGAAATTCTTGGTTGATTGCACATACATGCCAATGTCAGGCAACTATAAATAGAGAGATTTGGAGGAGAAATAGGGAGAGTCTTTATAACTCCAGTGAAATCAAATGGAATGTTTTGAAGGCAGGCAGAAAACAAGACGTGTTTTTATAAAATTAAGACTTGTCTCCCTTTTATCCAAAATCCCCTTATGCAGGAAGAGCCTGCATGGTTCATGCACTTCCAGGATAAGGGAATAAAAGGGCTTCTTTATTGATACAAATTTATTATTCTCAATCCTATAATTGAGCTTTTCTCTATACAATATCCTTTTGAGTTTGGATGTCTGTTGGATCATTTGAAAATTTCCCCCATTACTGCTTTGTCTTGTCAGAACATTTAAAAAACAACTCTCAAAGGACAGAATCTCACTCATGGTTGCTGCCGGGAATGAACTCAGCAGAGTGCTACATGGGTGTTACCCAGGGCAAGCGTGGCCCCCAAGTAAACCGGGTCACGCGCTCCAGCCGTGAAAAGCACTCACAGGTCCACAGCTCAAGCTACTGCTGCTCTCCGAGTGGCCTAACCTGTCTGCTGGCTGTAAGAGCTGGGCTAACGGGTATTTATCAAGGCACAGGTACTTTGAACAGTCACCCACCCATCTTACATTAACCTATATAAATAGGATTCAAATTAGTTCTTGCAAATTAGTACACTTTATTTGGAACCTGTACCGGAGAATTTACCAATTGCTTCAGTTTATTAATTGTGCTGTAGGACAGACAAATTAGTTAGCGGCAATGGGGGAAAGCGGCGTTTGTTTAACGGTCTTTTAATGTGGTTCTCTCGACTCCAGATCGCACTCCTCAAGTGGGAGACGTCGGAATGTCGATGACGGCTGCAAGGTCGATTTGGAGGAAGAATCAATAGCAGAATTAATCTCTCAGAATTCTCGGTTCTCTAACGTTGGCTGGAGGCTATAGCTTGGCTCCAAAGATTCAACACTTAATACTGCATCCCAGAAAGTAATGTTTTAATAATATGCCTAGTGATGATGTTATTACTTGGTGTTTCTGAATTGAAGCCTTAAGGCAACAAAAAATAGGACTTGTGGGAACTTCAAAATAGTCATGAAGATGGCTACTAAACAAGCCATGTTCATAATTTTAAAGTCTTATCTCAAGTCTGGCCTTTAATATTTTCCCTAAAATATTTAAAATGTAATCTGAGGGTAGGGTTCAGTTTATTAGATGTCTCTGAATTAATCCTGATGATAAAATCTACAATTCCAATGCTTTATTCCCCATAAATGCTGAGAGGCCTTCAAACAGTCCATGGGAATTGAGCATTACGAAGAAACCATGCATGGATTCAAGTGTTTTTGGAACCAAAATAAACTCATTTTAATAACAATATTTTTGGCTGAAAGGCAGAGAGTGACAGAGAGAGGGAGAGACAGACAGACATTCTTCCATCTACTGGTTTACTCCCCAAATGCTCACAATAGCTAGAGTTAGGTCATGCTGCAGCCAGGAGCCAGGAATTCCATCCAAGTCTCCCCAGTAGGAGGGAGGACACTGAGCCACCTTCTGCCCCCTCCCAGGATGCACATTAGCAGGAAGCTAGGTTAGAGGCATGGGTACCTGGGATCCAAACCACACCCTCCAATGTAGGATGCAGGCATCCTAAGTAGCACAACAACCTCTGTCCCTAAACGCACAAACTCATCTTTTAATTCCATTTCCATGGACTTTAAAAAAAATTTATTATTTGAGTGAGAGAGAGAGAGAGAGAGAGAGAGAAACAGAGATCTTCCATCTGCTGGTTCATTCCCCATGGCTATGATAGTGAGGCCTAGGTCAGGTCCCTCTGGGTCTCCCATGTAGGAAGCAGGGGCCCACAGTACTTGGACATATTAGCTGGGAGCTGGATTGGAAGTGGAGCAGCCAGGACATGAACTGGCACTCCAATATGGGCTGCTGGCTTGCAGGAGGAGGCTTTACCTTATGCGCCACAATGCTGGCCCCACCACAAACTTTTTGAAGGACATTCACATAAGGTAGAGGTTCAACTACTTCATCAAGAATCGTTTCATAAAGTGGTTACTTGGTTGAACAAAACTTTTAGATCAATTATGATAGGAACGTGATCATTTAATTAAGGGAGGAAGTGTGCACAGTATAAATAAAGGCACGTAATTTAAATATGTTAGACATTGGTTATACGCGGGTAGGTCAAAGGGGAGGAGCAGACATAGGACATTACAGTAGCAGGGTGAGACTGAGAAGTGACACTTTCATTGGCAAAGGCAAAACCTGGTGTTAAACAAAATGATGACAATGGTGTGTTCTACATACAGATTTAATGACAATAAATCACCAAATCCCTCTAGTAAACTCTTGTGGAATTTTGCATACTAATTCTATAATCTCTTCACAATCAGGTGTCCACTATATTCCTAACAGCAATTGTTGCAAGTATTTTTAATATAAAATTTTTTTTCATCTTCATAACCAATGGGTCCAAAATTAAACATGCCATTACAGTAAAAAGAGATATTGAAACACCAAATTCCTCAGCTAAAATTTTGTTATGACAAATGACAGTTTATTTAATCAAAGCCATTTTGGTTATCTGTTCCCCAGCATCATGCTTCAAACGTGATGCCCAGAAGTAAACAGGAGGGACCCGGTGAGTTTGTTTTCTGACTTCTGATGATTTCTAATGAGTTGGCTTCCCAGAAGATTCCTGGATAACTTATAAGAGCTAGACCTTCAGATTTTGTGAAATTTTAAAACCAATATAAATAAAAATATTTCAACAGGACAAGAGAGATAATAGCAATAAAATAATCAGAGGACATACTTGTATACTTTAGCTTCCCAACAAAACTTAGGGGAAAAATTGGTAAGCTGAAAATTGGTGAATGAGCAATTTTATCTCGCTCAAAAGCTGTCACTAACACCATTTGGATTGGAAAGTCAGTCACTTTATTCTGTTTTCAAAGTGTAATTTTGCTGATACTAAAATCTTTCTTGCAATTCAGTTCCAAGAAGACTAACCACAGTACATTTTAGGACTCGGGACCTGAAGCCATGCCACACTGCTCTAGGAACCCAAACTTCTACTGAACACTGGCTCAGACTGAACACAGTAGCTGGCACATGGTGAGGGTGTCACAGTGATTTAATGGCTACAAGAACAAATTTTTTAAAATTTCATGACAAACTGATCAGGAATTATAAATATTGAGAGAGAGAAAGAATGAACATAATCTGTATAAAGACTTACTTATTCCATGCTTGTCTAAGGTTTTTAGAGCTGTACAGGGTAAAACGTTCTGAAATAGAAAAGAAAAATGATAAACAATCTTTGTATCAAATGTTTACACTGAAAGCATGTTGAAGAAAACTCAACTTTTAAAAAAAGACATTGGGTGTGGTCACAGTTAGGCTAGCCACAGTAATGTCCTCACCTTCAGACAGGATAGCTGCTGAGGAAAACAGAAACGAGTGCAACATTTTACATAATGAGGCCTGGCTTTATTTTGTGTTTTGTCTAGGATGATTTATTTCGTAATCTTGTTTCTAATTATGTCTTAGAATAACTTAAGTTTTAATTAGATTGGAAAAACAAATGCAAATTTGAAACCTTCAAACTTTCAGATTGTTTCAGAATATTACCTATACTCCATTGAATAAGACTTGTTTTTTTTTTTTTTTTCCATGACGACTTCTCTGACCAAATAATGCTGGGCCCTCTTCCTTAAAATGAGTAGCATTTATACCTGCTCAAAGCCAAAGCACCAAGGTCTTGGCATGTGTATTGACATTTGTCATGGGACAATCTGGTTAAATAACAAAGTGATACAGAATAGACTTCAGTAATCTTTCAGTCCTGATGATATGACAACTAATGCCTTGGTATGCCTCTTTGCACACACACGTCCTTGTGTCTCTGTATTTATTTCTTTTTTTGCACTGCATGATACTTAGTGTAAAGTCCTTTCCAACAATGTCACTGAGAGAGAGAGATCACTTCCCCCACTGCCATTTGGCCACCGGTCTCTCATCACTCCCCTCAGCAACAGGGGAGAGAAATCCAGAGTTTGCTGCCTGTGCCAACAATGAAAATGCTGGAGCACCAGCTGGCAACGCAGTCGCCTTTGGCATCGCTCTCATGAGCCACATCAGAAGGACCAGGATGCTCCCCTGTTGATGACCACACCCGTGCTTCCGAGGTTAACAGAGCGGTGCCTGATGACGCTGTAAACATGCCGGCTTCCATCCTGGAGGGGAGATCAGGGTAGTGAAGGCATCAGCATCGTGGGTCGCCAGATGAGGATTCCTTTTGTGTCCACAAAGATCTTTCTCACTTTGTGCAACTTGGACTTGGGTTCCTCTCATGTATATTACAATGAGCAGCAAAGTGACTCTCGGTGTCACGGGTCAGACAGAAACTGTCTCCAGTCTTGTTGATCCTGATGACGTCCATAAAACCAGCTGGGTGGGATCCAGCAGTGCAGATGGCAGACGCATGCAGCTTCTCCTCACTCTGCCTCCTGTCAGGGCACACTCAGGTTTGCTCCTTTGCAAAACGATGAGAGGAAGACATTCTCTCAGCTGCTGGTGACGTGGGGATGGACCAGGAGCAAATACACCTATCAGCTTAGCCAGCATCCAACGCCTTGGAGCTGCTACTAGCTTCAATGTCTCTTGGGATCTTGAGCCATGGCTGTGCTAGGCATGGAAAGAACTCCGCGTTTATAACTATCTGCCCATCTATATGTAGAAATACATACAATATTTTGATTTCTAACATGGATTATACGATAAATATTCTGAAACTTTTTTGGAATTTAATAATATATCATGGATAGTCCTTCAAATGAAGAAAACATGCAACATTAAAACTGTGTAACACTCAGTTATAGGATAGAAGTGCTATAGCTTGTGATTTCCCCCATCAGTGGACCTTCCAGTAGTTTCCGCTTCCTTTGCTGTTACAAACAATGTCAATACATATCTAAACACATTTACCTCTATAGAGGGATGCTGGCATTGCTGTCACATTCCTCGCTACAGAAATGCTTGGCAGATGTATGCACATGCTACAGTTAACAGACCTGACAGATCACTTTTCATTTTGCTCGTGGCAGTGAAGAGTATGCCCCTCTGCTATCTGTCCCCAGCACTGCCTGCTATCAGTGTTTTATCTTTTTTAAGAGATTTATTTATTTACTTGAAAGTCATGGTTACACACAGAGAGGAGGAGAGCCAGAGAGAGAGAGAGAGAGAGAGAGATCTTCCATCCACTGGTTCACTCCTCAATTGGCTGCAACAGCTAGAGCTGCACCAATCTGAAGCCAGGAGCTTCTTCTGGGTCTCCCACCTGGGTTCAGGGGCCCAAGGACTTGGGCCATCTTCCACTGCTTTCCCAGGCCACAGCAGCGAGCTGGATCGGAAGTGGAGCAGCCGGGATTTGAAGCAGCACCCATATGGATGCTGGCACTACAGGCAGTGGCTTTAACCGCTATGCCACAGCACTGGCTCCAGTGTTTTACATTTTTGCCAAACCTATGCCTGATAAAACATTCTTGGGATTCTTTTCAAAACTATAACTTCTGTCCATTTTGCATTTCTTCTTCTCTTTCAAATTTCACTTTTAATAGCTGGTACTGATTTTAATAATAGATTATTGAGATTTATCAATTTGTAAAAATCTTTTGATTATGATTAAGCTGTTTCATATACATGAGTATATATATATATTTCACTTTTAATTGATGAAGTATTAATCCAAATAGAAATTTAAATTTTATTGAGTAAAATATTATTTTCTTTCAGTTTTCTTGTCTTGCTTAAAGACCCCAACATTGAGTTTATAAACAGTATTTTTCTTTTTTCACCTATGTTTTTGAAACTAATTCTTTCGCCTTTTGGCTTTAATATTTAGAAGGTAATTTTCAAATATGGTATGACATAGAGCAGTCATTTATTTGTTTAAAGAGGATGGATAATCATGCCAGGACTAAGTAAGAAACCTATTATGATCAATCATTCTTTCTCAAATATTTTCAAAGGACAAATTTATACTACATTAAGTTCCAAAATATATCAGAGCCTGTTTTCTTTTACACTCATCTATTTATACCAGTGCCATACTAGTTTATTTTTCCCAAAGATTTATTTATTTGAAAGGCTAAGTTACAGAGAGGCAGAGGCAGAGGCAGAAGCAGAGGTAGAGAGAGAGAGAGAGAGTCCTTCTATCCGCTGGTTCACTCCCCACATGGCCACAATGGCTGGAGCTAGGCTGATCCAAAGCTGGGAACCAGAAGCTTCTTCTGGGTCTCCCATGTGGGTATAGGAGCCCAAACACTTGGGCCATCATCTACTGCTTTTCCAGGTGCATTAGCAGGAAGCCGGATCAGAAGTGGAGCAGCTGGGACGTGAACAAGTGCCCATATGGGATGCTGGCACTGCAGGTGGCAGCTTTATCCGCTATGCTACAGCACCGGCTCCACCATATTATTTAATTAGAGTGCCTCATATTACCTTTTAGAAAAGCATCTTCTTGTATTAGTACTCTTTTTCTTTTGTAAAAATTACTGGGGCAAGGTTTGAACATTTCTTTATTCAGTAATTCCACATTTAAGCACTGTGTGCCTGGTGCATGCTGGGATTGTCCTTATGCTGAGGATTCAGGCACAAACAGAATTAAAAGGCTGCTTCCTTCCCTTGTGGAGCTTTTATTCTGGAACAGGTAAGACACACAACACAAACAAAAATACCACCGCTACTGGCCTCAAGAGGGACAGGCTACTTTTAGAAAGGCGCAAGTGTTCTAGCAAAGTTACACAAGGAGAACTTACATGGAGGCACCAGTGTGACAAGGACACTTTATGTAGGACAATGAGAACAGGCCAGTTTAACCCAAAACAGCCAACAAAATAAAGTTCTCATTGGAACCTGGTTGGACTTTCGTTAAAATACGTATTTATCTGAATAAAACTTCTGTGCATTAGAACATGGTATTTCTTTCCACACTGTGTGTGTGTGTATACTCTTCAATAACATAAATGTTTTCTTTTCTATATTGATCTCATGTCTTTTAAGAATTTTATAATAGGCTTAACTTTGCTGAGTATTGGTTGGTGTTCTTTGTCAGTGTTATCTGCTTCTAATTGTAATCCTGCTTTTGTTATGGTATGTTTCATGTATAAGAATACCACTGGATAAGAACAAAAAAATTCACAAACATTCAGTTTCCTGTGTTTAAGTCAGAGTTTCCTCAAAAGACATGACTGTGCAATGTACTCAAAAGAAATAGTATACAGTGATTGATCTGTTCATTCATCTAATCTTTCCGGAACAAATACAGTTTGGGAGGTACAGGTCTTAGGGCTGAAGATACAAGAGGCAACAAACAGCTGGAACTCCAGAAGGAGTGTGCAAGGCCTGAGCGTGACAGAGACAGGACAAGGCAGGCGAGGGCAGAAAGGGAGAGGGCCTTTAAGACATGAACTGGGCTGCATTCTTTTCTTTCTTCCTTCTTTTTAAGGGTCACTCTGCCCTCTGTTTGGAGAATACACTAAAGGAAGACAGGCTGGAGAGGATTAAGAGAACCAGGGAGAGACCACAAATGACTGGGGTTATGGTATCAGAGTGAAGGCAGCAGGAAGCAGGCCAGAGTCTAAAAATATATGGAGGGTGGAGCAGGTGAGATTTGTTACTGAATTAGGCATGGGGTGTGACAGGAAGCCTGGCGTCAGGGATGGTTAATTGAGCAGGTACGGATCTTCAATTTCCAGGTTTCAAAGATGTGAAATTCCGTAAGCAACTCAAATGTAACAGGGAATAAATTAATCTTTCTGTGATGATTTAGAAGGTATTTAAAGTGGAGTTCTCATGGAGTTTCAGAGTTAAATGACCCCAACTCCAGCTGAAGTAATTGACAGAATAATTAAGAACCTGTAAGGCACAGGCACTGACCAACCAGATCAGAAACCAGCCTTTGTGCTATAATGTATGCACCTGCACAAGACAGGCCCTGGTAACACACCCCCACTGTTCTAAGATAGAGGCAACAGTGCCATTTATTTGTTTTAAAAGAACATCTAATTTTGAGTTTATTCTCTACTAGACTGCACTACATAAGATGAAACATAAGGCAGCCAGTTGGTATAGAACAGAAAATTAAAGTATATTCTAGGTTTGAGGATTAACCGGCAAGGAAAGGAGGAACTGGAATAGTTCTTGTATAGTTTTTAAAAAATTATCTAAAGTCTGGTATTCAAAAAAATTAATTACCCAAAACGTACTCTTAAAACAAATTTGATTT